ATATATATATATATATATATATATATATATATAAAAGATATGCAGGCACATTTCGGGCTTTTTCTTTCTACTTTGCCTCTGACCCAAGAAACGTCCCTCAAACTCAGCAGGTTCTCTCTCTAAGTTGTACTTACTTTAATGCATGCTTTTATGTTGATTTATTTATAGGGTTAAGGTTGTTTCATGATTTCTGGTGTCTTGGAGATTTAAATTGAGCCCTACATTCAATGGCTTCTTCTTCTTTGTTTGCAGGGGGGTGGTTTGAATTAATTTGGGTGTTGTTTATTTTGATATCATGATTATTGGATTGTATCATTTCGCAGATTAATGTCTTATAAGTTTTTAGATATTTGGGTTTTTTGGGAATAGATGGGTTGGGGTTCAACTATGATTGAATATGGAAATTGGGTTTTCGTTTTAGAGAGAGAAAGCATTTTTTTTTATTGGGGTTTCTGATTTTTAGTGTGATTTAAAGGATTTTTTTAGTGATTTTAGTTGGGTTTGTGAAGGACATAGGAGTGTTATCTGAATTTCGAAGGAGGCGAATTGCAAACAAGGATTCTAATATAGTTAAATTACATACACTGCTCGTATTTGCAGCTTCTGAAACTGGTCCAGTGATTCGTTTTTGTGTGTAATTTGTTGGTTGTGTTCCAATATGTATGTTTCTTCTTTCTTTTTCTTCTTCTTTCTATTTAAGTAAGACAATGTTGCCTTATTTTAGGAGATGCTATTGGGTTAGTGAAATGCCATTTAGCTCATCTTCAATGTATATGCCAAAATTCAGAGATCTGTTTGTTTTTTCTTTAGGTTTCTGTGCACTACATCCAACTCTATCCTGAATTAAGGTTTTTATTGTGTTCTAATCTTCAATTTCCGACTCGAGAGAGTAGATCAAATGCTTGAATCCTAGGTCCTAAGCCCTTGTTGAAAATGTCATCTTCATCACATTTATCATTGATTATAGGAAACACTTAAAAAACAAAAAAATTTAAATCATTTCTGCCACGTTATTTAGAGAATCAATTTTGAGTTGAATGAGCTTCTAGATCACATTAGCTATCATTTTGCATCACTACTAATGTTTTTTTTGTGGGTTTTGGTTTTTCTTTTTATTGGTTCTTTTTTGTTTATAATCATCTGATGTGCATTGTTTTTCTGTGTTAGCGTGCTTTATTTCTATTGGGCAGAGCTTTGAGTTTCTCTCTTATGAATTATGGCATGAACAGTTCTTTCATTTTTCGTATTTGATTATGATTTTACTCTGTTGTGGATCTGTTGTTTCCACTCTGCCTAACTGATTGTGCGTGTTTCATAAGTGTAGGTTCTGTTTTACTTTTTGAAACAAAATAAAGTCCTTACTGCCCATAAGAGATAGAGTTGTGAGGAATGGAACGCCTACAGAGAATCTTCTCTGGTGCAGGAGGTATGGGACACCCACCTCCAGATTCACCTCTCCTCGACTCTTCTGAACAGGTCTACATCTCCTCCCTTGCCCTTCTCAAGATGCTCAAACATGGTAAGATAACTGGATTTCTCTATCTTTGCCATCAGAAAGGAAAAAGAAAAGCTACATTTTCCTTTCTTCTATATTCTGTCCTACTAGTTCAGATGATTGGCATTTTGGGTATCTAATTTCTCTTCCTCTTGTCTATCATTTTGTTATCAGGAAGAGCTGGAGTTCCCATGGAAGTTATGGGCCTGATGCTTGGTGAGTTTGTGGATGAATATACTGTGCGAGTTGTGGATGTTTTTGCAATGCCCCAAAGTGGAACTGGAGTGAGTGTGGAAGCTGTTGATCATGTTTTTCAGACAAATATGCTTGATATGCTCAAGCAGACTGGAAGGTACATTTGGTTTCCTTGATGTTTTTCCTCATCTATTTTATATCACTGTGGATCACTATGTTTGGTTATTTGGCTTCCATAATTGTTTTTCTCCATCTCTTCCAACTTTCTGATTGCTATATTCTTGTTGTGGAAGATTAATTTTTCTTTGTTTGGTGTATGAATATATTACTGTTGGTTCGTGGATTGTTTTTGTGTCTACTCCTTAAAATTACATCGCAAACTAATTCCAAAGAAGGTTTCTCCTAATTACTATGTGATTTTAACCCATGGGAGTTGCATTGCAACAGGGGTGCATGTGGAGAGGCATACTTTTGGCTTGTTGGCTGTGGATTGGATTGTTTACTGCTTTCTTCTGAGATGACCTTTTAAGTTTATAAGATTCTAGGCGAGATAAGAAGTCATACTAGGTCAAGAATCCAAGACGGTGTTACAGACGACGCATAAGACTTGTAAAGAAAATCTGAATGAGAACACAGATAGTGTAGAATTACGAGAAACTGCTAGTGCGGAAGAATATATTCCTACTCAAGTATAATGTTACAAAATTTTATAGCACTAAAATCTATGAGTTTTACATAAATAATATAATAATGTCAAATAATAGGCAAATATTTAATGGTTCCAAAACAAGATTTGGTTACCACATTTCAACCTCATCTCAGTCTAAATCAAACAATTTTCATCAGTTAATATAATTGTAAAAGACATTTCATTGGAAATTTTACATTGATACTCTTAACCATTAGATCAACTTGGGATCCCATAAAAATTAATGCTCCTGGTAATAGCTGAGAGAAACCTACAATATTTTCATTGTTTGAACTCCAACACAACCAAATTTAATATGACTTGTGGACTAAATTAGAGTTTCACAAAAAGTCAATGTAAATGATATGTAAAATCTAGTAATTCTTCTAAAACAGTGACTGCTGTTGTTTTAATCGATTATTGTGAGAATCACCAAGGTCATTATTGTTGTTGTCGTCATCTAGCTGCATGGCCTCCTTAACCTCTTCAAGTTTGAAAAACCTTTGTTTGAAAGTAGGGTTACAAGCCAGTGAATTGAAACTTGTCACTTTAAAAAAGGTATTGACATTTTCAGAGTTCAATGCAGTCCTTGGGAGGCATTGGGTTCCCTATCCAAATCTTAGGAAACAAATTTTGCAAAAGGTCATTGAGGCATCACCATTGCTTAAATAAACTTTGTGAATATGGTTTGGAGTTCCAAAGCATTGTATTTTCTGTTGCTCTTATTGTTGTCATTATAGTTTTGGAGTGTAATGTTTCAAATGGGTTGTTGCATTTGTGGGTCTTAACTTATGATATGGGCTGGCGTCCAGTTATCCATGGAGAATCACTGACATTTCATAAGAACATCGGCAAGGCCCCTCTGGAGGATGTCATCTCTACAAATGGAAGGAGTTAATTATAAATGGGGAAAAAACAGGAATTTTTTGTTGCATGTTAGGGACATTCTAGTGGGGTTACGAAAGGGAGGTCCTCAGAATTGTGGAGCAGGCCAAGCAAGGCCTTTCTTCACTTCATAGTGGGTGAAGTGGGAAATATCCCTTTTCCCGAATTTTGTTCCATCCAGATAGGGCCTAAGTTAGCCAGCTCTTGAAGTTTTCTTTTTGGCACTAACATAGAATAGCAGATGAATTGGATGATGCCTTAACTTGAAGTGGGATATCAGGTTTGACTGTTTGGGAATTATGTTCCTCTTGTAATTTTACCTTATCATTGTGTTACCTGTGTTGTTCTTTTGGATTGATATAATTTAATTAGAAAAACAGAGAAGGGAATGTGACCATTATTTTCCATGTCCTGCCTATGTCAGCATCTTTTCTAAGGGTATACTTCTTTGAGGTATGTCACTACTGTAGTTTTAATGTTATGTCCATTGGTGCATTTCCTAGTGTTTGTCCCTCCCCAGCCTGGAGTGGCGGGTCCTTTATGTGTTGCCATAGGTTCATTTTTTGAGGCCTTATATTTCTGTAGCATGTAGCAAGGACTGGGATTATTATGTTTGATTTTCACTAGAATTAGTGGTTCCCATGTTTTCTGTTGATGCTAATAATTTGGGCCAATGGAGGAATTCTTTCAAACCTCGTGCTTCATTGCAGTTTCTGAATATAGGGTGTGGAGTATCTTTCGGGGGTTATTGGGGGTTCATTCCAACTTCTTTCTTAATGGAGTGCCATAGTTGTCGGGTTTGGGACATGACCTTTAAGAGGGGAAGGGGGTCTTCGTTTCCTCATAACGAAATGAGATCTCTTGAAGGCACATTGTTCTAGATCTTGAGGGCTGAGGTGGGGGCCCACCTCAAGATAGTGATTAAAGGGGTGTTTCTAGGAAGCCGGGTGGATATTGACAAAATGAACTAGATAATAATGATATTTTGTTATGAAGAATTTAGCAAGGTTGGGTCTTTTTGGACATCATGAGGGTTTACATTTCTTGGATTTCCATTTGGTGTGTTGTAGTGCTCTTCTTCTTTGCACGTGTACATGCATCTGCATGTGTTTGTCATAGGCTCTCTCTCTCTCTCTTCTCTCTCTCTCTCTCTCTCTCTCTCTCTCTCTCTGTCTCTCTTCTAATAGCATTTTCATATGTTTCCATGGAGTTTTCATAAGGTGGATGGGAGTTTGTTTCTTCTGCTGGTTCCAACACCATTTCTTCTATGGGTGTGCGTGTGTGTGTGTGTTTGCATGCATTTGTGTGTATGTCTGTGTGTGTATTGAATGTGACCTTATCACTTGGTGATAATGGAACTCTAGACATCAAGTTGAACCACCTCTGACATGGTGCTTCTCCTTCACCGTTTGCTCTATTGTGGGGCTTTGGTGATGTGACTTGGCCGACATGGTTATAGAAGATTTCTCTAAGCAGTAATGCCTTTATGATTATAAAGGATTTCTCGAGGCAGTAATGCCTTTATGATCTTATTTTGCTTTACTCCTTGTTGGGCATTCATGCAAGCGATAGTATTGGTTCACCCGGTGGTTCTTGTTGTTTTAATTATGACTCATTGATTACTTGGCATTCTCGGATATGTAGGTTCTTTTGGTTAAAGTTTTATTATGATTCTTTTGTTTAATATTGCTGTTTGGTTTTACAGACCAGAGATGGTTGTTGGCTGGTACCATTCACATCCAGGCTTTGGTTGTTGGCTTTCTGGTGTTGACATAAATACCCAACAGGTGGTGTAGTGTTTCTCGATGACCTTTGTTTCCTTTCAATTAATTCTACCACATGTATAATGCTCCTGCTTCCCCCTGAAATTCTGGTCTGCTTGATTTTGTTACAGTATCAATGGTTTCTTGCATGAATGTAACGTTCGCAAATAATTTTCTGTATATAGTGGACTCATAGTCATTGCATTGACGTTTTTGTTCTTGTACCTCTTTTGGGGTTTTAACAGAACACAACTGTCTCAAGGTGCTTTCTTTTATTTAATAAGATTCATCTAGAGCTTGAAGCATATTAGTAATTCCTATGTGCTGTTGCATGGATGATTTGATATTCATTGAAGTTTTAGTTGCAGACTTAGAATATCTGTAATGCCTCCCTTATGAGTAATTATATTACTTGACCTGCGGAATCTATTACTGGAATCTCAAGATGCTGCTTTCTTTTACTTAATAGGATCCACCTAGGGCCATGTATGATTTGGTATCTTTTTGAGTTTTAGCTGCAGACTTAGAATATCTGTAATGTCTCCCTATGAGTAATTATTTCGCTTGACCTTTGGAATCTAATACTTGACCTTCAAAATCTCAAGGTGCTTTGTTTGACTTGGTAAGATTCATCTGGGGCTTGGGGTGTATTTGTACTTCCCATGTGCTGTTGCATGGATGATTTGATATTTTTTTAAGTTTTTGCTGAGACTTAAAGAGTATCCTAATGCCTCCCTCGGAGTAATTATATTACTTGTCCTTCAGAATCCCATAATACCTTGTAATACTCATGTTGCCGGAAGAACTACTAAGAAAATGTTAGGAGAACATAAAAATGAATGATACGATTGGTAAAGTGAAATCCCATTGCAAGAGGCTTATCAAAAGAGAAAAAAAAAAAATCTGAAATCCCATTGCAAGAGGCTTATCAAAAAGAGAAAAAAAAAAAATCTGAATGCAAGAATGAAGAGAGAGAGAGAGAGAGAGAGAGAGAGAGATTCAGCTGTTTCTGAAAACGGGTAATGATGCCCAAACAGTGGAAGAGCGATACTGTTGCATCTGAAAATAGGTACTAATGCCTATACCATATGTGCTGTCTCCTAACACGGTTGTTTGCTGCTGCAGAGTTTTGAGGCCTTGAACCAAAGGGCAGTTGCAGTGGTCGTAGATCCAATCCAAAGTGTCAAAGGTAAGGTGGTTATTGATGCCTTTCGCTTGATCAATCCTCAGACCATGATGCTTGGCCAAGAGCCACGTCAAACTACTTCAAACCTCGGGCACCTCAACAAGCCATCCATTCAGGTGAGGGAGAGATTACAAACATAGAATCCCATTCATAAAGATGATGCAATTCTTCTTTGTTCTTTTTTGGGTAAATTCTTCTCTCTTCTAAAGCAGTTTCTTTTATGTGATATTTTTACAGGCTTTGATCCATGGGCTCAACAGGCACTACTACTCTATAGCCATCAATTACAGAAAGAATGAACTGGAAGAGAAGATGTTACTTAACCTCCACAAGAAGAAGTGGACTGATGGTTTGACACTGCAGCGGTTTGATGTCCATTCAAAAACTAATGAACAGACTGTACAGGTCAGGAAAACTCTCTCTCTCTCTCTCTCCTTACCCCCCCCTCCTCTCTCCTCTCTCTATCTATCTACCATAATGCTATGGTTAAAATGTGAATGAGAATGTGAGTGAGTGTATCATCTCAACTCTCTCTCTCACTCACATGCCCACATAAACACACGATGAGGTTAAATTAGCAGGGAATTCCGAGTCTGGTCACAACATATCTCTCTGTTTCATGTTAAAGTTTGCAGGAAATTTATGTTGATACTGCAACTCTCACATGTTGAGATTACGTGAGGAGATGTTTTATTGTGCATCTCTCATCTCTCTCTGAGTTGAACTTAGGACTTTACAGTGTCCGCCAAATCCGTTCACCTCTCTCTCTCTCTCATATGCCAAATGTAAAATAGGGGATGCTGGATTTGCTTGTCAGAGCTACTTGTACTCTCTTTCATGCTCAGGTTAAATTCAGAGACCAATCTGATCATCTCTGCAACTCTCTCTCTCTCTCAGTCTCAGTCTCTCTCTACATATCAAAAGGTCTCTCTCTGTCTCCATCTGACATCGATGTCACAATTGCAGGAGATGCTGAACCTGGCTATTAAGTATAACAAAGCAGTTCAGGAAGAGGATGAGTTGCCCCCAGAAAAGCTTGCCATTGCCAATGTTGGAAGGCAAGACGCCAAGAAGCATTTGGAGGAGCATGTTTCCAACTTGATGTCTTCAAATATAATTCAGATTCTGGGGACAATGCTTGACACAGTGGTGTTCTAGAGAAAGAGAGAAAACGAGAGAGAGAGAGAGAGATTTCCCTTTTGCAAGCTCTCTGATCATTCCCTTTCAGAGAAGAAGATTATGATTTCTCTCATGGGATATATACCATTCATCTATGACTCAGAGCTTTGTGCTGCACCTTAGACTATAATCATTTCACATTATTTTTGTGGTGGTGCTATGTTATTTGACATTTCTTGTTAATGTCAAAACTAGGGTTTTAAGTCCAGAATTGCTTTAGGCTCTCTCTCTCTCTCTCTCTCTCTTGATATGATTGGAGCTGTTTTAAACTTGTCTACACTGTTTTTCCACTTATTTGTTTGTCTGACTGTACAAAAGCCTCGAGACGTTTGAGGCGATCGGTCAAACTGGGTTGTACAATTATTGCTTTTGTGTTCAAGAATTTTGATCCTTCAACCTTTTCCTGATTATGTATATATACACAAATATATACATGCATATGCTGACGGGTGGATGGAACAGTGTATACCTGTGTAGATTTAAATGTACTGTGGGCATGTACTGTTCCATCATATATACTCTGGGGGCCAAAAGAATGCAACACTTATGCCCTTGGCATATATATGGGGGTGGATGTATAAGCAATAGGCCCCTTCATTTTGGGATTTGCCTTGAAAAAAATGTATTTTGTGTATGGGATGCTATGGTAGGATGCATCAGCTCCAACTCTTGGGGAGGGGAGTTTATAGAAGTACATATATAAAATCGCAGGAAAACAAATGAATGGCCCAATGAAGGGGCTGATTTTATTGGACTTCTCGGATTTTTTATAGGAAGAAGGTTATATATTGTCCCAACCTTATACTGTAGAAATAAGGTGCACCACAAAAATCCACTTGAAACGGTTGTCTTGCTTTTGAAAACCTTACAATTGATCATCTTGACCACGAGATGTATAAATATAAAAAAAAAAATTAAAATCCAAAAAAAGTGCATATTGTAATTTAAGGAAAAAGTTTATATAAAGATGTTACCTTAGAATGTAGAACTACGGATGCCTCTAAAAATTTCTATCAGAAAAGGTAGCTTTAATGTTGAAAAACTCTTTGATTGATCATCTCAACATCGAGATGTAAAGATATATGACTATGAAAAAAAAAAAAGATTTTAAGTCTTAGGAGTAGTGTGTAGATATACTTGATTTTAACCATTTTTAAAACTTAAAATTTTATAATTAGATATAAAAATAGATTTTGAGATAACAGTAAGAACATTTTACATCAAAATTATATATCATGATAAAATTTGAAGGTGCACCTTACCTCTACATCTACGGATGCATCCGTATGCCAATTTCACCCGTAATTTAATATCTAGACTGTCTATTTTTTAAAGGTTTTTAGGTGTTTATAGATATGCTTGATCTATATCCATTTTTGAAACTTTTAATTTCATGATTAGATGTAAAAATAGATTTGTTAGGTCATTATAATGGTTTTTAACATCAAAACTGCATCTTTAACAGGATTTAGAGACGCGTCTTACTTTGATGGTTTAAAGTTACATCTTATACAAACCTCACCTTTTTTTTGTGCTCATTAGGTTTAATGAGATTTGATGTTAATAACGTCGCTTGTCATAATTTTCAATGAGATTTCATTCAAGGGTAAGATTTGATCAAAGATTGTCATAAAAATCTAGTTGGGTTAGACCCAAAAAAACCTGCAAATTATTTATTATTATCTAATTCTTATGCCTTTGATGGGAATTGGGATGATATTGCTAGTGTGAAGGCACTGATGAAAGAGAGAGCAGTGAGAAAGGAGCATGGGTGTAAACTGTGAAGGAAACTCTGAGGCAGATGCTTTAGCGAAAGGGACCACACATAACGGAACCTCACAGTAAAACGAAACGGCCTCTCCTAGTCATCTTTCCCACTGTCCTCCTTTCTCTTCTCCTCTCCTATTCTATAACCTTATCCCTTGTTCCCTTTTTATCTTTTCTTTTTTTTTTCTTTTTTTTCTTCCTTTTTTTTTTCTCTTTTTATGTGGTTTCCTTCTGTTTTCTTTTTCCTTTCTCACAGTTAGCATGTACTTGTACTCTCTTTCTTAAATTCTTACTTAAAGTTCAAAAAAAAAAAAGCAAAAAAAAGGAGCCTGGTGTAGTTGGATTGAGAGAGGTAGAATTGTTCAAAAATTTATTAATGACTCTACAAAATTGCAACATCAGCAAGTTCTTTAATGAGCATCATATGCTATAATAGGAATATGTTTACATGTGGTGATGGTGTTATTTGGGATTAACACTGAATATATATCCATACTTTGAAATTTGATTATATAAAGAAAAAACATAGGTTCTAAAAAGAGAAGGCGAAGATCGAAAAGTATATGCATGTAAGTAGTGGCTATTCGTGTAGTCAACTCCAAATAATTGGGACAAGACCCACATGATGATAATGATTAAAAAAAAAGATGTACTTCAGCATGTGTATGCTTGCATGAGAGGGAGAGCACAGAACACCATTAAATGTATGCATGCCAGGTCATTACTTAAATGCATGTTTCATGTTCCGATGGCTGCCCTAAGGTGACTTTTCCTATAATGGTCCCCTTGATAATTCATTTTGACTCAATAAATAAATAAGTAAATATATATATATATATATGAAAAAAGTTCATATAAAGTTATAACTTTAAAATGTAGAATTATAGAAACAC